ATACTTGGGTCCCATACTTGCGACGAAACATCTCTGCGAAGATACAGCCAACGCTCCACATGTCCACGGGTGTTGCATATGTAGACTGCAGAAGAACTTCTGGGGCACGGTACCAGAGTGTAACAACCTTACAGGAATCGGAAAAGTACATTAGGACCCTATGGGTTACGATGAACCACAACGGCTTGACTAAAATCACAAAGCCCATGACTTCTCAACTGCTATGGTCAACCACTCTTCTACCCCCATCTTTCTACTGACCACAGGTGTAAGTGCCATCTGGTAGCTGTAGATTCTGGCCAGGCCAAAGTCAGCCAGCTTCACTGTCCCACCACTGGTCACCAGAATGTTCTCTGGCTTCAGGTCTCGGTGAACAATGCAGTTGGCATGAAGGAAATCTAGGCCTCTTAGAAACTGGCGCATGAGATCCTGGTTTGGAAGGGGAAGGAACAGAGGAACTAGAATCTAGGCACCATACCTGAAATCAAAACAGGTTCTACTACAAAGGTCTCAATGTACCTTCTATGTCTACCCACCCTACTCACCTTGATGGTGTCCACTGGCAAGCCTGGGGGGGGTGCCTTATCCAGATACGTCCTCAGGTCTTGGTCCACGTGCTCAAACACCAGGGTCACTTTGGTCTCCCGGTCAGTTCGGGCGGTGGCACAGACATCCATCAGCCTGGCCAGAACAAATGGTCACTCACTTACTTGATCAATTCTTTTGGACCCCCTATTTTCTCAGGATCCCCACTTCTCTCCTGACCACCACTCCCCACCAAAAGTTGTCTTTTCCCCTTTACTACCCACTTCTAACCCTCCACCGTCTCACCGGACAACGTTGGGATGCTCAAAAGCCTCCAGCCGCCTCAGTAAGGCCACCTCACGAACTGTGCTGATGGGAAGGCCCCCTCCAGCACCTCCTCCATTAGGGACTCTCACGCTCTTGAGGGCCACGAAGTGGCCACTGTGGGGATCACGGGCCTTGTATACCGTTCCATAGGCACCAACACCAATCTCAGCCACTGGCTCATATCGAGGAGTAGCCATTCTCAGAACAGAGAAGACCCTACAATCACAAAGACCCCTGCCACCGAAAATCCCTTCCAGAGTTCAGATGGTATGAACCTACAGCAATAAAGTGACTCCCACAAAAGACATCACAAAGACACCCCACCACCATCTCGTCCCTTCTCCAATCTTCCATGAGGCTAGCCCCTCAGGCAACACAATGACAACACAACCCCTCCAGCCACGTAAAACCCTAAAATAAAAAATTCCTTTTCCTTTGGGACGGACCATCGCGCCCCGCACAGGGTTCCATCTCACACGACACACCCCCCGCATCGAAGACCCGACATCCAGGCCCCAAAATGACACCTCCATATGACCACAAAGACACAAATTACACGCTGCCCCACTTCCCGCCGTTGAGCGACCCTTCCATAACTTGTCCGCGTAGGCAGCCGTGGAGAGCGAAAACGGTCTCCATTCCTGGGAAGGGGATATACTTACCTCACTCCGTGCCGGGAGCTGCGGGGGCGGCCCGTTATCGGGGCCGCGGAGCCAGATCCTGCAGCGCCATACACTCGAGCTCTGGACGGGGCAGCAGGACGCTACGGGCCCGACCATAGACACAGGCCGCAAGCTAGAGCGGCCCCCTTACCCCCACCCTCACCATGTGACCAGCTGCCAGAGAGGCGCGCGGAAACTGGCGGGGCGGGGCGAAAGCCGGACGTTCGGGGCACGTGACAAGCCACTCATGCGCAGAGGGGTACCCAGGAGAGGCTATGACCAGGAAGGGGGCGGGGAGGGGAAGGGGGCGGAGTGGGGAGATGGCAGCCACGTGATCTGTTGCTACCACACGTGACCCCTTGACTTAGCTCTGAGGAGCAGAGGTGTGGTTACGCGGCGGCGCACGTGACTGACTGCCAGACCCTGGCGGGGTTGGGGGGGGCGAGCGGCGGAGGAGACGAGAGAGGGTGGAGTCCAATGCGGTGCCATGGCAACCTGGGCCACCCAGATTCCCAACTCAGGGCTGCAGGCCGAGCCTGAGCGCTGCTACAGCCTCACTACATACTACACGTCTCTCATTCTCTATATGCTGGTCAGGGATCGGAAGGATGGGACGGAGAGCCAGAGGTGGTGCTGTCGCCTCTGTGCTTCACTGCCGTGGGAAAACATTCTCATTTGTGTCTTTGTTTCATTCATTCACTCATTCAACAAATTTTTACTGAATGCTTGCTTCCTGTGTGAATGCGGGTGGTTTTTTTTTTTTTTTTTTTTTTTGGTGTCTCACTCACTAGCCCTTTAAAGTAATGATGAGGCTGTCTGTAAAGATGTAGCCAACAGTGTGTGTGGTCGTATAAGAGAGTAGACAATACCCATTTGAGGGCAAAACTAGGATTAAAGGATTGATGGAGGGTAGATTAATGCAGTAATCCAACAGGAAGAGAGTCAAGGTAATGCCCTCCCCTCTTCTAACTTCCACCCCTTCCTGGTAGTGTTAAAATAACGCTTTCTGGCAGAGAAGGTATCAATGAGCAAGAGACAGGAATATTTAGCCTTTCAGGTTCTTTCCAACACTAAGATGCTACGATATATGTGTATCTGTACATGTGTATATATGTGTATTTTACACATTATATATAGATGGATAGATACGGGAGTGAGCATGTGCAAGAAAGTTACTTCCACCACCACCTCAGACCCTGGCATTGCATGAAAATCATTTGTGCTCTTCTACAAACCCTGTCTGGGGTCGTTCTGCTTCTCTCTTTTCCCCATTGCAAGCTTTCTTAGCCTTGCTCCTGCCCAGAACACAGACTTTTCTAAATAGCTTCTGTTCACAGACACTTAGGTAGACAACAGAGAGGTTTCTCTGACTTTCTTTGTCTTACTGGTTACTGGTTCCAGCTTCCTTTCTGATCTCCTAACACTTTATGGGAAGGAGAATAAGGAAGAAAGGGATCAGTATCTCATTTGCAAGAAATTGTCTAAAATCTGAAACCATTTTATAGCTCTATTTACCACTCTTTCCACCTTTAAAAAAAATATTTTATTTATTTGAGAGAGAGAGAGAGAGAGAGAGATCAATGGGGGAGGGGCAGAGGGAGAAGCATAGTCCCTGGGAGCAGGGAGCCTGGCACAGGACTCTATCCCAGGACTCTGGGATCATGACCCCAACCAAAGACAGACATTTTACTGACTGAGCTACCCAGGTTCCGCTGGCCACTTCTTCCACCTTAACTTCTATTCTCCCTAACCATCTAGTGGAGGATATAACAGCTCAGGCTTGAGATGACTATAAACCACGCTCCAGGGCAAAATGGAATACAGGTCAGTACAGCTTCCCCTTCTTTGCATTCTGATAGTTGTAGCTCTGGGCCTTTGTAGGCAAGCGCAGCTGGGACACTGGAAAGAAAAACCTCAAGGTCTAAACTGGCTAAGGGGCTTCTGACCTGAGGTGAATGTTTTATTGGCTCTTTTACTGGGACTGGTTGGTTTATAAACCTTGTGGCAGGCAAAGTGAGTTTCTCAAACTTCTTTTCTACACCAGCAAGGTCTACTTCAGCTTCACTTTCCACAAATTACTGTCTTTAAAATAAAAGTCATCCTCTATGTTGCCTTAGGTTCTAGCCCCCTTTGCGATTCATTCATCCATCCACCCAATACATTTGAATACTTCATTAAAGCATTACTCTCCTTAATCACTTTTATTGAGGAGACTTAGTTTGGCAGTCTGTCCCCGGTTCCATACCCTCCCTTCTCCTGTTAATTACTCTTTTACTAATTAATTTTTTTCCAGTGCATTTGACCCAAAGGGCTCCTCTGGAATCCCTTTTCCCTCAGCCTTGGAGAGAAAGGATATCAGTGTAAGGCAGAAATAATGTGATGAGGGGGAAGAACTGGTTCTTAGGGTCAAGAAAAAGCAAAACCAAAGAGCTGCTTGCGTGTAGGTGTGTGTGTGGAATTCACTTCAGTGTAGGGTGGTGGGGAAGGAGAGTACCAGGAAAGACACTCTCATCCCTTAAGCACTCTTGTTTCCCTTGCTCACTCACCTCCCTCACACATTACAATTACACTCTTCTGTTTTCATACAATCCAATTGCATTCCTTACACACTCATCTATTTTCCGCCGTCGGTCTTCTGTGTAAAAGTGTTTATTGCTTGAGTCCATCTCTGGCTCACCTTCCTCACACCTCAGACACTTGCATAGCTCTTTCTTTGCACACTCCCATCTTGCACAAGCTTCTCCCTCCCTGATGCACCTGTCTTTGACCACTCACCTTCCATCCTCAGCCGCTCCCACCCCTCCCCCCGACCCCCATTAACACACCTATTCTTTACCCGTGTGCACACCCCCCCTCCTTGGCCACTCCCCTCCCTCCACCCTCCCCCCGGGCTCGCACACTCGCCCCCGCCTCTGGGGACACCTGCTCGTGAGGGGCAGGGCGGGGATGCGCAGCCGCGGCCACTTCTCCTCTCCCGCTCCCCGCCCCGCCCCTCCCTCCATCCCTCACCGGCTCCCCGGCTCCCCGGCTCCCGCCCCGCCCGCCCGCCCGCCCGCCGCTCCGGGGGGGTCTCCGCCGCCGCCGCCGCCGGAAGGAGCCGCCATTTGCCACCGCCGAGCGCACGGGCCGAGCCGAGTCGGAGCCGGGAACCGGAGCGGGACTGGAGCCAGCAGGACCGCGATGGGGGGCGGCCCCGCCGCAGGAGGACTGGGGCGCGTAACCCCGGGGGCCCGGCCCGCTCCAGACCCGGACCCGTGGGGCGCGGCACCTTGAGCCCCCCTCCCCGCCCCCTGCTCCGACCATGGCTGCCCGCCCCGCCGCCCCCGGGCCACCAGCCCTCTCGGCCCCGCAAGCCCCGGAACCCCGGCTGTGGCAGCCGTGAACGGCGCTCTCAGGCCCCGAAGACCCCAGCCGGGCTCGGCCCTCCAGCGCGCGCCCCCTTCCCGGCCCTGTCCTCTCCCTTCCCCCCGCCGCCCGAGAGCCCCCCTTGCACGCCGCCTCCCGCCCCCCGGCGCCCGGACGATGCTCAAGTCTCGGCTCCGCATGTTCCTGAACGAGCTGAAGCTGCTGGTGCTGACGGGCGGGGGGCGGCCCCGGGCCGAGCCGCAGCCCCGGGGGGGCGGGGGAGGTGGCTGCGGCTGGGCGCCCTTCGCCGGCTGCTCGACCCGGGACGGCGACGGCGACGAAGAGGAGTACTACGGGTCGGAGCCGCGGGCTCGGGGCCTGGCCGGCGACAAGGAGCCGCGGGCCGGACCCCCGCCGCCGCCCGCGCCGCCGCCGCCGCCCCCGGGAGCGCTGGACGCCCTGTCCCTCAGCAGCAGCCTGGACAGCGGGCTCCGAACCCCCCAGTGCCGAATCTGCTTCCAGGGCCCGGAGCAGGTCAGGCCTGGGTACCGGGCCGGGCGGGGAGGGGTGGGGACGCGCACCTGGGGCGCTCAGGCCGACCAGGAACAGGGGGCGGGGCCTGAGGAGGCTGGGCGGGACCCAGGACCCAGAGTGGGTACCCGTTGCGTCTGGGGTTGGGGGGTGTTGGCTGGAGAGTCGAGGAGCGCACGTTTGGGGTGGAGGGGGTCGGGTTCCCAGGGAAAGGGTGGGGCTTTCTCCTGGAGGGTTCAAAATCCCTCTCACCTACCAACGTGGAGAGCCTTTTTGCCCAACTTCTCTCACCCCGGGGTCCCTGTAGGCTGAGGGGGCCTATTCATTCTGAGGTGGGCAGAGTGCTTCTGTTCCCCCTTTGAAGGGAGGGGCCCTCCTGACGCCCTTGCCTTACTCAGTATTTCTCTCCATGGGGCACTTTTCTTCACTTCCCATACCGTAACTTTCCATCTCATTCCAAAGAGTACTCTTTGTTTAAATGTTATGGACAAAGTTGTCCCGGGATAGTGCTGGGAGTGTACCTACCTCACGAGAAATATTCCTTGATTAAAGGGGGAAATTCTCCGTTCCCACACCCGGAACCCCCCCCCCCTTTTCTGATACTTGGAAACTGAGGACAATAACCCATCCCAGTCTGCACCACATGTGTGAAATACTTTACAGCGATGGGAAGGAGGAGGAAGGCATGGCTCAGAAGCTCTGACCCTCCTGTCTCTTCAGATCCTAAGGAGTAGCTTTCCATTTGGGAAGCCTTAAAGAGCACCCTCCCCAAATTTGAGGAGAGGAGGAGACCCAGTCACTCCCCAACCCCATTTCTTTTTATCCTTCGTCTGTTTGGTCAGGGAAGTTTACCTTGAGCTCTGAGTTGTTTCTTTTTTGCTGTGGTCTTAGCCTCTTGCCCTGTTTTGGGTGAAAGGCTTGAGGTTTTTTTAAACGTTGGAGAATGACTGGCCAGGAGAGATTTCCCTCTCTCGGAGTGGACAGGAGTGGGGTGGTGACAGCTGACGAGGACCCTCCTCACTCTTTCTCCAGGGGGAGCTCCTGAGCCCCTGCCGCTGCGACGGCTCAGTGCGCTGCACGCACCAGCCCTGCCTCATCCGCTGGATCAGTGAGAGGGGCTCCTGGAGCTGTGAGCTCTGCTACTTCAAGTACCAGGTCCTGGCGATCAGCACCAAGAACCCACTGCAGGTGAGGTGCAAGGAGAGAACTTCCAGACGGGGGCAAGGGCCTTTCAGTAGTCAGAATCAGGGACTCTCCAGGGAGCCTATTTATCCGTTTCATCTTTCCCCTACCCACCCTTACCACAATCTCCTGTCTGCCTGTAAATCCTCCCTTCCTTCATTTATTCACATTTATTGAGTGCCACCTGTATTCCAGGCACTGTTCTAGGCACTGAGACAGGAAAAAAAAAAAAAAGCAGCAGCAGAAGAAGATGGGGATGATGATAGCAAACCTGTAGTGTTTTCTATGTGTTACACTCTTGGTGTATAGTATTATCTTCATAATAATCCTGTTAGTTATGTGCCATTATTATCTCCATTTTAAGATTTTATTTATTTATTTGACAGAGAGAAATCACAAGTAGGCAGAGAGGCAGGCAGAGAGAGAGGAGGAAGCAGGCTCCCCGCTGAGCAGAAAGCCCGACGCGGGGCTCGAACCCAGGACCTGGGATCATGACCTGAGCCGAAGGCAGTGGCTTAACCCACTGAGCCACCCAGGCGCCCCATTATCTCCATTTTAAAGATGAGGACATTGATGCTCAAAGAGATTTGAAAGCTTGCCCAAAGTTACTCAGCCAGTAAGTGATGGAGTTAGAATTTGGAATTCAGACCTAGATGGTCTGGGTTCAGAGCACTTGCCTGATCCTGCCTTTCTAAAATAAGATGGGAAATGGTCTCAAACAAAGGGTAAAGTGCTCCGTACTAGGCCTGATCAGGTCAGAGGAGACGGATTGCCAATCCTGCCTGAAGGGGTGTCAGGAAGGCTCTGCAGCATCTTCCTCTTTAGGGCCACTTATCACCTGGCCCTCCTTCTCTTTCTGTGACTTTTTGGAGCCCTTTCTCCCACACAGTGGCAGGCCATCTCCCTGACGGTCATCGAGAAGGTCCAGATTGCAGCCATAGTTCTGGGCTCTCTCTTCCTCGTTGCCAGCATCTCCTGGCTCATCTGGTCCTCACTCAGCCCTTCAGCCAAGTGGCAACGGCAGGATCTGCTCTTTCAGATCTGCTACGGCATGTATGGCTTCATGGATGTCGTCTGCATAGGTGAGGGCACCTCTCTCCCCCTTACCTGCTCAGTGTTTTCCTTCAACTCACATACTTGACTTTCCCTGCCCATTCCTTCAGCTCCACAGCCACATTTTCTACCATTGGGAGCCTTGAGGGCTATCTTGGTGCCCCTCCCTTCCCTGCTTCTTCCGGCCTTTTACAGACCCCATCTCCTCACTCTGGAGAAATACTTGCTTCAGTACCTCTAGCCTAGGTCTGGGCAGCAGGTGACCCTGGATTTCTTATCCCTTTTGCTCAGGCCTCATCGTCCACGAAGGCTCCTCTGTCTACCGCATCTTCAAGCGCTGGCAGGCAGTGAACCAGCAGTGGAAGGTCCTGAATTACGACAAGACCAAGGACATAGGAGGAGATGCAGGGGGAGGGACGGCAGGGAAGCCGGGCCCCAGGACCTCACGGACGGGCCCCCCCTCTGGGGCCACCAGCCGCCCCCAGGCTGCCCAGCGCATGCGGACGCTCTTGCCTCAGCGCTGTGGTTACACAATCCTGCACCTCCTTGGACAGCTACGGCCACCAGATACCCGTTCCAGTTCCCATTCTGGCCGAGAGGTTGTCATGAGAGTCACCACGGTCTGAAACTGAACTCCAGGAGCAGGGATCTTGAGTCGATGCATTGGCCAGAGATGAGCTGTCATGGCTGCTGGAGGTACCTCCTGGACAAGGTGTTTAGGGCACACTGCCCCCACCACTGAGGATCTCTGGGGGCAACCTCAAGCTGGAGACATTGTCTGGCCTGTGCTACCCACTGGGTAGAGACACCTGGATGACATTCCAACCCCCACCGATAGCTCCTCACACTCATCCTGGGGCAGCCAGTGGGCAGGTGGGGAGAGCATCTTTTCTTCCCTAGAGAACCGTCCTTACCTCAGCTCCTAGGGCCTCCAGCCCCCCAGCTCCACCATGGTGACTTGGTGAAGGGGGACCAATGCCAGAAGAAAGGGGTTGTAGACCCCCTATTCCCCACCCTATGGCCACAGGGCAGCTGGCAATAAGACTAGTATACATTGACCTCCCGTTCCCTGCATGAGGGCGGGGGGGGGGGAACCTCGCCCTGCTCCACCCCCCCATTGCATGGGGGGAGGGCATAAAGAATCATTTATATGCACGTGGAGACTCCTTTCTCATCTGGGGCCTTTCTGGAGGGTTGGGAGGTGTGGGGAGGTTTCTCTGCAGAGGTTGCAAATCCTAAATGCAGCAGTGGGTTCTGAATTGGAGGTGTAACCCCCACTTGCTGGCGAATAATTCACAGTGGCTGCTAGGTGGCAGTGCTCAGAGGTGTCTAAGGGGTGGACCTGCCACCTGCAAGTTGTATGATTTAGGAAAAAAAAAATCTCTCCGCCGTGGCTTTCCTGTCTACCTCATAGGGTTGGAATGAGGATAAATGAGGGACAGGTTGAAAGCCATTGCAAAGAAAATTAGTGATGGCGTAAAAAGATTTCTAGACTAGTTGGTTGTCCATTTGTTTCAAATAGTAGCTGGTTAACAAATTCCAGAATGTGTTTTTCACCTGGAGTTTCACAGAGCCTTGGAAATTTGTGTTGAGTGTCATAATACAAATGGAAATATGGGGGGGAAATAGAAACTGCAAATATGAAGGATGGCGGTTATTTGCAAAAAAAAAAAAAAAATAAGAGCTCCCGCAACACCCTAAACACTGGGAGCTGGGGAAGGATGGAGCTATCCTTCTTGCTCTGGGGATCTTGTGGATTCTATCAGTCCTTCCAAGATAATGTGTTCCACCCAGGGAAGTGGTGTGAAATGAATCTGGACTTTTTTGGAGTGAGACAGAATGTCCCAATGTTATGGATCTCCAGCCTTGGTTTAAGCTTCTTCTATGGCAGTTCAGGGTCACAGATCTGACCGTGTGCCCCAGCTAGTGGTATTCACTGGAAGGTGTTGTGCCTGGAGGCAGCAGTGTAGAGGGCTGTTGTTATAGAGAAAGGGTTTGGGAAGGACTGATTAAAATGTGGGTCAGCCTGAGGCCCGCTTCCTTTCTCCTGAGGCCTTGGGGCTGTGTATTATATGAATTATGGTGTCTTTTAAGTGAACTATTCATCAGCAATTAAAATAATTACTTCATACATTGTTAAGTCAGATCCAGACGCCTTTCCTATTATTGGTCCTTTTCTCAGGAAGGTTCTGTTCTGCCTCCTCCCTGGGGATGTTTTGGGGGAAATGCTTCTCTACTAAAGCTCGCACACCCTAGCCTTGGAAATGGTCTTCCCTGTCCTTCCCTAAAAGGGTCTTGGCTGCTGTCCATGGTGCTGGCACCCAGACTTACCTGGGAATGTTCTCATTGAAACTAGACTCAGGTTTGAGTCACCTGGAAGTATTGAGGTGTATCACTTCTAACCTCTGAAGAGATCAGAAAGAGGGGACAGAGGCCAAGTGCCCCATTTTTTTTCTCGTGAGATATTATTTCTGTAGAGAGACAACCTTCCATATTCTCCACCTGGGAAGACGGAAGTGCCAGACTTTCCTGATTTGCTGTTCACAAAATAGCTGGTGGAGGTCAGAAAGGAGAGGGCAAATCAGAGTGACTGCTAGTACCTGTCCTGGCAAATATGACCGGTAGGTATGCCACAGGTGGGGTTTCTTGTGCCAGGCCCAGACTGTCCCTCATGATGGCCCTCCATGGAAGCTTAGATGTACTGAAGAACACACAAACACAAACACACCCTCTCCAATTCCACTCTGTGTCCTAAAACTGGGCCAAGCGAGATAGGATGTTTCCCTCCCTTTCAGTACCATCAGAGGTCTTGCTTGGTATGGGGGTTGGGACCAGCAATAAGTATGGTCCCTTCTCCTTCCCTTTTTCCAACCTAAAGAGATTCTTGTCATGAAGGGGTGATGGGAACGGCTATCCTCCTCAAGTAAATCAGTCATACTTGCCCAATGAGGAATGTGGGTGTACAGAATTCTCATCACTGATTCCAGGGGGAAAGAGTGTGAGAGGAAATTGGGCTTATTCTCCCTCAAAGTTCAGATCTGCTAAAAGTCAGGGCACTCAGGTTCAACTTAAGCTTAGTCATAGGGGAGTGGGGGTGGACAGAATACAGTAGAAGAGTCGAGAGGTGGGGCAGTGAAGGCACAAAAACCTTGGTCTCTGCATAAGGCCTCGGGTAAGCTGTACCCCTCTGTAGATCTTACAAAGATAGATGTCCTCAGAAGGCCCAGTGGCAAACAGTGTCTGTAGTCAGGGAGCCCTGTCTAGGGCAGGGGGCCAAGCTGGTGGAGGAGGAAGAGGAGGAAGTGTCTCCATCTCCATCCAGCTAATTGGAATGGAGAGGAGCAGGAGGCAGGGGGCAAGTCCTGACATGGGGAGGGTAATCTAGGCTAGAGAGGGGTGGCAGGGAGTGTGCTGAGAGATTTATTTGTATGGAAGATGAGTTCATCTGTATACACTGCAAGGGGAAAACTGTGCCCAGCCTCTGGGGGGGGCCAGAGAATGCTGACTCAGGGAAACAGAGGATCCTTCTGCCCTACCTGCTTCTGCCTCAGTGCCCCAGGGCTTCTGGATGCCTCCACACTCAGCTTTCATCCTGTCTGTCTAGCTTCACTTCTGTGCATGTATCCCTGTCTTTCTCTGAAGGAAATTACCTCAGAGCAACTTTTCCAGAGAGGGCAGATACCCTTTGGTCCTAGCAGTCCAGGTTCCAGAAATACTTCCATCAGAGTCAGTTGCCTCTGGCCATCTCTGCAAATCCCTAGCTCCCCAACCCATTTCTACAGGCTAACCCTTGGCATTACTTTTCACCACCACCCCCTTAATCTCTTACAGGGAGCCAGACTCTGGCTCTTCCCAGTACAGACAGAAACGTGTTGGGTTTGTGAGGCGAACCACTCTCCCAGGTGTCTAGACCTCCCATTGTTATGGAGGTCACTCCCAGGACAAGAGAAATCAAAGCAGGGGATTTGGGTGAGGGTCTTGCCTCCTGGACTTGTAGGAAGTAGAAATGGAAGAGAAGTAAGTCAAAACCAAGAATGGAACATTTGATTCTTTTATTTCAAAACTATGAATATTAAAAAATACCAATATATAAAAGGAAGGCTTAGGCAGGTATAGGCCCAAAGGCGTCTCTGCCCAGGAACTAAGTGGTGATACAAGCCAACCTCTAATGGTGACCAGAGAGTCAAGGAGAGTTTTAAAAACATCATAAACCAGGTGAGGGCTGACTCACCTTGCTAGAGACAAGATGAGGAAAAAGGAGAGTAGACAGTTCCTGGTAAGCTGCTTATCCCTTCTGCCACATGGTCCAGATTCAGTCTGAGAACCTGTATGGCACCACCCAATCAGGGGATATAAAGACAGAATAAGGTCTCATTCTTCCTCTCAAAGAGCTCACATGCAAGAAGAAAAGACCAACCAGGTGCAGACCAGATGCATAACTGAGCTCATGTGGTGGCAAGTGCTTACCCAGCAGCTCCTGAACACTGTGGAAGCCCAAAAAGGCAGTGGTGGAATCCCTCCTCAGGCCACCCAACACTATGAGTTCAGATCTGAGCTGGCCTTTGAAGGATGCGTATGATTGAGACCAGGAGAAAAGCTGAGTAGGCAGAGGAACTCTGGTTTTCTCAGGACCCGAAGGGTCAGGCCAAGGCATATTTCACACCTTGGTCAGGGCTGCTTCAAGCAGTTTGCTAGGGTCCTTCCAACCAGTCTAGTCAAATAGACAGGTCTCAGGGGGAATCCATATCTCTTGGTCTTGTGGCTAATAAATCCCTACAATGAGAGAAAGGGTGATGATGATAGCCTCCTTCCACAGGACTATCTATCTACAAACTGTAGGTTGATGCTTCTCTCAGGTACCAGGACAGTCCGGGTCATGGGTCGGATTGGGGCAGCGCCTGGCTCAGGCTTCACCTCAAAGTGGGTCAAGATCTGGAAAGGGAAGAAGAAGGCTCTCACTTTGGGAGGGGTCTATAATGGTGGGTTTGATTGGTAAAGGGTATTATTAGTGTTAGGTTGGTCAATTCTGAAATGACACCCGTGGTCAGTAGGGAATTTCTTAAGGGATTATGGCAGGGCAAAAAAACAGTCCAAATATCCTTGCTTACTCTAGACTTAAAGCAGAATTGCTAAATTTCAGAGGATTAGGTTTACCAAGTCATACATTTTGCTATGCTTGTCAGAAGACCTCATAGCTTTAGAGGGTCAGGGTCTCTCATGTCTGGGGAAGGTATGTTCAGATCACTCACCTGAGCCAAAGCCATCTGCAGCTCCAGCTCTGCCAGGCGTCTCCCCATGCAGCTGCGCTTGCCGAAGCCAAAGGGAAGAGAGGCAAATGGGTGGGGCGCTGGACCTTCCCCCAGCCATCGAGCTGGACGAAAAGAATTTGGTTCTGGAAACTGGGTAGGGTCCCTTGAAGTGGCATAATGACACAATGTGACCAGCGTCTGATGGGGAAGGAACATAAACTTGTCAGTTTGGGCCCACAGAAGCAGGGAGGGACATGGAAAAGAGGATATATGGATTGGAGAAAAGGCAGGCGCTGGTTGGTGATGAGGTAAGTTTTCTGGGGCTACTTTTGGAATGATTGCTCCACATTCCAGAGAGAGGCATTCAGGCCAAAGGGAAGGTGAAGGGCTTATACGGAGTGTTTGAAAACAAGATGTGGCCTATGATTGTGAGGGATGGCTTAACAAAAGGGGCCCATAGCCTCTACTCACGTTTTTGGGGATAATATAGTCACCCACGCGAATGTCTTTGTCTGGGACACGGGAATTTCCAGGTACCACAGGGTACAGTCTGGATTGCAGAACAAGAGGGAAATAGCAAGGTGACGCTGGGGGCTGTAGCCTTCCTCTTGACTCCAAGCCCTCGACGTCCAAAGCCATTCTTGGTCAGGAGTATGCATTTTCCTTGCACTTCCTCCCCACTCCCATTCACCATCTCCTTCCCCAGCCCTTCCCAACATTTTCTTTAGCTTCTCCTCTCCTGTCCCCTCACCTGAGCACTTCCTTGACTACTGCCTTCAGCAGGGGCAGCTGGGATAGAGCAGTAGCTGAGGGGTGGGAATTGGAGCCAGGGCCCAGGGCCACTGTGATCTCTGAGTGGAGAGCTGTCTGGACTTCTGGGTGCCGGGAGAGTTCATACAGAGCCCAGGAGAGTGTGTTGGATACCTGGGGGCAAAGTTGAGAATCTCAGAGGTGTTGAGAGTAGACAGCCAGTAAAGGGGGCAGAATATGAGGCCGTCTGGAGTTCAGGAAATGTTAAGCCAAGCTGGCCGAAAGGGTCACAGTGGATCCCCTGCAGCGGCAAAGTGGCCCCTGAAACTGGAAAGGCTAAGCTCTGGAAGTGGGGCTCCCAACATGGAGAAGAACCTCACTGTGTCCACTCCAGCCAGCAGCAGCTCCGTCACATTGCCCAGGATGGACGGAGCAGGCAACTCTTCCCGGAACAGGAAGTAGGTCAGGTGTGTCCCAGATCCCAAGTCCTCCTCAGGCTTTCCCTTGCTCCTTAAGGCTACCTCAGCCTCCCGCCTCTCCACGTGCTGCTGGGCTGTGTGGGGGAGAGGGTACAGGGATGCCTCACCATCCATAAACAGCTTTATGTTCCCCTATCCCCACTTCATTTCCGGGCCTTACCAAATGCAAACATCTGGTCCCAGTCTCGGCAGAGGCGGTCCCAGGGTCCGGGGACGAGGCGGTGAAGCCAGCTGGGCATCGCCAGGGTCAGTAGCGTGGACACAAACACCGATCTCACCGCGCGGATGAAGGTCTCTGTGTCCGGAGGCACTTCGGCCTCCAGGCAGCCCAGGCGGGAACCCAGGAGCACCGCCGCTATGCCTGGGCGGGAGGGGGCGCTGTCAGGGCACCCGGAGACCAGGCGGGAGCCTCCCACGCTTGCCCCTGTCTTGGGACTCACCTTCTAGTCCAAACTTGTAAAACTCTCCAGCCACGTCCCGAACCAGGGTGGGCGGCCCAGCACCGCGTCCCCGTTGGTGCCGCAGTCGCCGCACAAGGTCATGGACCACGTCGTCCAGGGTCCCGGCATATCGGGAGGCCGCCTGAGGCCGGAGGAGCAGCGGGGCCAGGAGGCTACGGAGCTTCTGCCATTCTTCGCCTTCCCTGCGGGTGTGCAGAGAGGGGGCGCATCAGGGCGGATGGGGGTGTGTGGAGGCGGCCGACCGGGCTGGCTGCGGTGAAGATGGAGCGTATTCGGCTGGGGTGGCCAGGAAAAGGATTGCAGCTGCTCCCTTGGGGTACAAAACCCATCTCCTGCCTGCGCCTGCTTTCCGTCCCCCTTCCTCGTTACTCATTTCCTGGCCGGGGGGCAGGGAGGGCTGCGTTCCTGGGTAACTTGAGTCACGGAATCTTACATTCCATATAGGTCCTGGTACCTTCGCTCCTTCAACAGATTTCCAGGATTCCGGACTCCAAAGACAAGGAGATGGGTGGGGGACCAAGGCGGGGTTCTACCTGAGCCTGAGCGAAACAGGCTGAGGTGGGAAGCACAATATGCCAGACGGTTGCGGGGGGAAAGGCCAGTCTCCTTCCACACCCTGAGACAGACTGTTCCCAGACCAGCTACAGGAGAGGGACGCAGCAGCCGGGCGTTGGGGCTTTTGGGCCAGGGAATACTCACGCGGTGAGCAGCCCGCAACCGCGCTGCTGGCGGCGACGGTGCTCTGCCCAGGGTGAGAAGCTGCAGCGTTCCGGCTGGGGCCCCTCCTGTCGCAAGAGCTGCTCGACGAGGGCAGGGGCCGCCACGTACACAGTGCGCACGGTCCCGAAGCTGGCCAACCACACGGGCCCGAAGCGCGAAACGCCCTGCACCTGGGAGAATGGGCATGGAGGACACTGGAGACCCCAGCCGGGGCCCTCCAGCTTGGTCCACGTTAACGTCAAGGGTGTTGGCTGGGTTTTGCAAGAGGGAGCTTGTTTCTTCACTGGCTCCCAGCTAGTATATAGCCGTGATGCTGCAAACCCTTCCTCCTTTTCTTTCCCCCACTGCCCATCCCTAGGAAGTTTGAGTGTGATGGGCAAAACGGAGGGGCTCTGCACAAAGCAGATATTCAGGACTTCTCTTAGGTCACCCGGCCTGAGCCCAGGCGAAGAAATCCTTGAAGGCTCCTCACGTGGACTATCTCAGAACGAACCCCTAGTAACTGAAGAGCGCCTGTAGCTTTAAGTCTGACGCGCGGGGAAGGTACTGTGCATTTCCACCTCCCCCCCGCACTTGTTCTAGACCTACCTGGCCCCCACTTCAGTACCGCAAGAAGGCGCTTTTTGAGCGCACTCTTCTGCTGGCTGTGGGGATGGACCCCGCGCAGGTCCAACCACCGCCCGCAGTCCCAACTTTTCTAATTCATGGGCATCTGTTGTCACTGGCCCTCCTCCTACTTTGTGTACTAGTCTGTCTTTTCTGGTGTTGTCAAAGCCCGTTTCCCCAGCATTCCATTCCCATGAACGTCCACCTCTACCTGCAGCTCATGTAGGCGTGACAGACCCCCCTTGCAGAAGAGTTCAGCAAGGAAGACTGGCATGGAGGGGCCTGGAATGTCCGCCAAGCTCCGGGGCGCTGAGTCGGAGCCTCTGGAACCCAGTGAGGTGCCCAGCTTGGGAGCACAGTGGACGCGCTGGAACACTCTGGAGGCCAGCTTGAGGGTCTGGGTCATGGTCTGGTTCAGGGAATCCACGAAGGAGAGGTCTTCTCCCAGGCATCTTGCTTGCTTTCCTGAGCCCCTATTTAACCTTTGGGTGAGATAGTGGCAACGCCCCCTCTTCAAGCTCCTCAGCCAATCCCCTCCTAAGTGGCTGAGCTGAAGATTAGCACCCAGGCACAGTAGGCGGGGCTGGGGTTATCTTGCAGCTCTCTTGGGTCTCTTGTTGCTATGACCCTCTTGGGAAGGGAGGTCTGCCTTGGTTCCCCCTTTCTGGGCTGGTGCCCTGGTCCAGTTGCTTAAAGATATCTTCCTGGTAAAGGCTCTTTGGTGAGGTTTAGGATACTGAGGTACAGAGTCAGTCTCTAGTATTCTTACTTCCCCAGGGAGCCAGGCCCTCTTGGGACCATTGTCAGGAATTCCCCATCCTTCAGCCTTTGGGAAGGGAAGAGGCACAGCTGTAGCTGTCTCCATATTCTTGGTGTACGGGGCTGTGCCTTCTCCGTAGCTAAGCAGAACTTGCTGGCACTCCCACAGCTTTCCCACTTCCTGTACCTGACACTGGGCAGATGGTGGGTAGGTTAATGGGTTAAAATGGCTCTAGGAGCCTTCATCTTTGCTCCTTGGGAAGGGGTTGGTCTTTTAGGTCAACAAACACTGTCTTTCCAGCCACGGGAACCTAGGGCTTCAGGAGCAGAAACAAAGGAACCTTTTACAAATTAGAAAAGTTGAGAGATTTCTCTGGGCTCCTTGATGGAATAAGGGCTATGTGAGTGCTCTGAATCTCCAGCTGACTCAGTCCTCTTTGAGAGGAGGGGGGATTTCTAGTCAGCAGTCCGTTTTTGCTTTTAGCCTCAGAATCCTGCACAGTTTAGTTCTCTGCTCCTCACTCCTCCACCCTGCTGCCACTGGGCTCTGTGCCAGTCAGTTAGCTCTGAAGTTCTGGAATCGAAGGTCAACATGAAAAAGGAGAGGGTCTCCACCACCCCGACCCAGGACTCTCCAGAGACAGCAACAATAAAAACAGCAGATTCCTCAGGTCAAGTTTCAGGCAGGGAGAGGATTGGGGGGTGGGGATGGGAAAAGGCATGTGATACATGCTCTAGCCTTTCCTGAGAAATAGCAGCATGGGCAGGGGCACACGCACACATGTTATCCCCACGACTGCAAAGTAAACACAAGTAGACAGGGAATTTGAGTCTAGCAAGCTGTTTAGATGGATAGTGGAGAACTGCATTCCTCACTTTCGCTGAGAAGGAGAGATCCCAGAAGAAGGGAGTGCTAAGGAAGAGCAAGACCCCACACCCTTCCAAACATCCCTTCTGGTCCAAGGTCTTTTGACCTTCCCAGTTAGCTTCTTTTGCTTTCTGTTGGTGGTAGACAGGCAAGAAGATGAGAGGTCAGTTGTGAATCTCAGGCTTCTGGCTTGGGAAGTTCTCCCAACTTCTTTGAAAAACTGTCCCCTCTTGGCCCTGGCAGTCTCAGCTAGGAAGGTCCTGTGATCAAGCTAAGGCAAGGCAGGCTGTCAGTGGCCAAGAGGGGTGGGACTGGGGGTCACTGGCTGGAGGGTGGGATCCTGTATTCTTCGGAAGATGGCTGGGAAATTCTTGCCTCCGTTGCGTAAGACTTTCTTTCCTTCCTCAGTTGAGGTGCCCAGATGTCCCACAATGGGGTCTTCACTCTGGGAAAAAGAAGGATTCCATAAGTCCTTGCCCACCTTTCAGATGGCCCCTGGCCTGAGACTCTCATCCCATCCTCCCGGCACTGAGCTGGGTTCAAAGAATACAGACCACTCTGGAAAAGGCCTGCATCGTCACAACTCCCCTCAGGGCCCCTACCTACCAGTTCCTCCAGGGGCACGCGCTCAAAAAGGGGGTGCCTTTCAAAGTGGGCGCACATCCAGTCATGTAGCTCCAGCACATCAGTTATGGTGTATACGAGCCCCTGCAGAGGCAAAAATCACCCGAGATGGGGGGGCTGCATGCAGCTGAGCAGGGCGATGATGGGAGTGGTGGCCTGAGTCCTAAATGCTTAATTTATTAATTAAGTGGAATTCTTAGTGGAAGGTCTCTGAATAGGCCACTCACCCCTCCCTCCCTCCCACTCCCAACTCACCCCGACTCTAAGCACGTAGGCATATTCTGCCAGCAGTGTGGGACTGATGATTCGCCACTTGTGCTTCGTCCGCTTGAAATGTGGGTCAGGGAAGAGGAAGAACATCTTTGTCAGCTGTGAGACAGACAGGCATTGACAGGGTTGAGAGCCTGGCTTCAGTGCCATACCTGCCTACCAGCCTTACCCACCGGAGCCCCTCCCCACCTGGCCCTTGCGGAAGAAGTTAGGAAGGTGTTTCATGGCATTGCTACGGAGACAGGCGATGTTCTGGAAGCCACCTCCAGGAGCTGCTCGAAGGGCCCGAATCCGGTCTTGTACATAGTCTGAGACTTTCACCCGGATCTCCAGACCCAGAATCAGTGTGTCCGGGAACAACGGTGACAGTTCCACTGGACACAGAAATAGGAATGGAATCGTCAACCTCATACTTACAGGAAGTACAAAGGGGTCAAGAAAAGAAAGGAACTGCCTATCTGCAACTGCCAAAATCACGAATGGCAAGTGTGGTTGGAGAGATACGTACGTGGCTGGTTCTACGTTGGAGAAGAGGGTTAAGGTTAGGGTTAGGCTTAGATCCAAAGACTATTACCCAGACTGGAAGTGGGAGGGTCTGGGAATACATGTATATTTGCAAGTGCTTCCGAGTTTTCGGTGTTTTCACACATTGTCTCAGTTAATCTTCCTAACACTCTGTGGTAAATTGAGAAGATGAGGATACTGAGGTCAGAAATGCCCAAGGTCACAGAGCTAAGAAAAGGCAGAACTTGAACTTGAAACGAGCTCTTCTGCCCCCAAGTACCATGTTTTTCCTCTCTCTGTCATACTGTTACTTCTATGGGAAGATCTAAAAATAGAGAAGTGGCCTGGCATGCAGGGCTAGGACAATACAGACAATACAGGAGGATCTTGAAAACACGAGAGTAGAGCAGAAACGATGAGTTTTGGTGAAGGAGGGGGGAGGAGAGGGAGAGTGGTGGAATCCCTCAGAAAGACAGTTCAGGATCACTGGCTACAGTGACTAATCTCTGACGCTTGTGCTGACCAGCTCACTGACCCGGCACCTTGCAGGGGAAATGGTTCAAGGAGGGACTGAGGCCAGGGGTGGGGCCAGACAGGACAACCCAAGTTCTAAGAGGCATTTGAGTCAACACCCTCCCTTCTCCAGGACAAAGGCCACAGACCCAGAGTACGGGGAAAGCAGAGGTTCTCCACACTGATGTCACAGCACTGGTGTCTGGTCCGAAGGGGAAAGGCCAACTGTGGCCCCCACCAAACCTGCTGAGGTAGCAGAACCTAGACATTGCCTCTCCATGCCCTAGAGAAAAGGCCAGAGTGTTACCTAACAGGCCACCATAGCCACAGCCTATGTCTGCAAACTCCACTTGGGCCTGAGCTCTCTTTTCTTTCTTATCCTTTGGGTCATCGTGGCTCTTATTTTGAGTCAGTGGAGTGAAGAACTCTGGGTATAGCTCGGACCAGTCCATCTCTTCAGGCTTCACAGGGCTATTGGAGAGAAGACACGAGGTACATGAGAAGGTTGGTCAAGCCATTGCGGAAGTGGTACTACATGTGTGTGGGCAGATGGATAAGGGTGGGAGGTAAATGGGAAGAGCTATTCTCAAAAATTCTGTAACAGTGGGCTCTGTGGTCTCTAGCAGACACAATGGAAACCACCCTTAAACCCCACGGTGAATCATAGGCCCATCATGAGGCTCATGATTGCTGACCTGCCCATCTCCACTTCTAGGAGTTGATGTGACTCTGGTCAGGCAGCTCTCCTTCCTGGGTCCCAAGTTCCCTTCCCCCAGAGATTGGCTGCCCAAGGCACTGGGACCTTACTTACTCTGTTTATATGCTCTGTGGGAAGAGGATGGATTAAGGTGTGGGTGGGATGTGTGTTTACGTTTGTCTTTTTATTAAATCCGATAAACGAAACCGAAAGGTGGAAACAACGTTCCGCCTGCAACACTCCAGTCTAAGTTACTCTTTCCAGACTTACACCACAATGCAGATCGCCACGCCCCCTCCCAGCCCTCCAACTCCGCCCTCTCCTAAATCTCCCGATCCACCTCTAACGCTTACGTCACCCAGCCGAGCCTCCTGGTCCCTCTGTGACCCTGCCGACCGTCCCGGAACAGCCCTTCCGAATTGCTGCGGGATGCTGCAAACATTCCGCCCTCCTTTGCCTCCCCCTGCTCCCGCCCCGCTGCCCTGCTCACTCACTAACGCAGCGTGTGGTCAGCCATGGGGTTGGAGTGAGCACGTTGCCGATAGTAGCGCTTCTGGGGCTGCGGGGCCTCCGCTCCCGCCGCGTCCCCACTCTCAGCTCCCGCCATGATCCCCAGTCCGGGGTTTCTCCACTGAACACACGTGGAGACCAAGGCTCGAGGCGCAGGATAATGACGCAATCAGGCACGTTGCGAGTCAACCCCGCCTCTTAAAGACCCAATAGTATACTCCGCCGACCTGCGCGGCGAGGGTGGGCGGCGGCCTGAGCGGTGGGCGTTCGCGGCGCGGGTCTCCAGCTGGACTGGCAAAGTCAGTCCTGGCACCCTACCCCTTTGGTTAGCCCGCTTCTGCGTGGTCTGGGTTACTTTCCTAGTTGCAGGCACCTGTGCATCCCGCAGGTGAGAGGAGTCCCAGGACTCCCTCTTCCTACAGTAAAATCCTCACTCCTCTCCCCTCTCCCCGGGTCTCAGACCTGTCTGCCCCGTCTGCCCCGCGAAGTCCGACGTGAGCCCCGTCGGGTGTGCGCTGGGGACCGGAGCGGGAGGGGCAGCTTCTCATCCCATCTCCAGGAAGTCAAACTGGAGGGAGGAGGGCAAACTCTGGGAGGCGGGGCTCAGTGCCACGGAGAAGCCCAGGCGACCCGCGGCCCCTCACCCCCAGCCGGTCCCAGATCCAGGATACCAGCGCTGGCCGGGGGGCCCGCGTGCGCTCTCATCCGGATGGCCGACCCCTGCTCAGATCGTGAATCAGAGTCCGAATACGTGTTCCCGCGGGAAGTCGGGCTTTTCGCGGACTCGTACTCGGAGAAAAGCCGGTTCTATTTCTGTGGGCACGTGCTGAGCATCACACAGAACTTCGGTTCCCGCCTCGGGGTGGCGGCGCGCGTGTGGGACGCGGTGAGGTGTGGGCAGCTCTGGGCGAGGGCCCCCGGAAGGTCCGGACCCTGGACTCTCCCTCTGCCATATGGAACCATCCACGCAACAGTCTTTTTCTTTCTCTCTCCCCCTTTTCCCCCGTAGGCTCTGAGTCTGTGCAACTATTTTGAAAGTCAGAATGTGGATTTCCGAGGCAAGAAAGTGATCGAACTGGGCGCAGGGACGGGCATCGTGGGAATCTTGGCCGCGCTGCAGGGTGCGTGAGCTTTGTTATAGGAGTGAGTGGGGGTGGGGACTGGGTAGTGGAGAAATTTGTCACTCCCTGGATTCTTGGGAGGGGAGTGATTTGCGACCCGACCAGTCTCTTTTTAACAAACGGTGTGTGTGTGTGTGTGTGTGTGTGTGTGTGTGTGTGTGTGTGTGTGTGCGTGTGTGCGCGCGCGCGCGCGCATCCTCTTTCTGTGTGCCAGAGAAAACACCCACGGTGGTTGATTTGGGGGCAGGAAATAAAAACCGGGCAGGTCTTAGAAGGAGTAGGACTTTTTTCTACCTTTTTGCTCTTTGTGATTTCATGAATAATACCGTCACTTAAAACCGCCTTTGCTTTGACATGGTGTTTTGTCAAAATGCATCTTTGGGGGCATTCTGTAGGGGGAGCAATCTGCTTGTATTAAACCCGAGGAGGGCTTTATAATTCTAGTATGAATAGGTATTAGGTTTTTTTAGGGTTTTGACTGCTTGGGAGAAATAAGCGTGAATTCTTGAGGGTTAGGGTGTTTTTTGTGGGGGGAGTGAGGGTAGGAATTAGGCACCGCAGACTTTGGGAAGGAAAAGGTAAGGAAAATTTTGCTCCCCCCTTTTTTTTCAAGGATCCAAAACTACAAAGGAAACAGCTCCTCAGTTTATAATCTAATGGGCAGGCAAAACCTCACACCCAAAACACTCATTTAAAACACTTATGATGTCATCTCCCTAGTAATGCAAATGTCTTTGTTCTTGGGAACACAACTAGGTCACATTCAGGAAAGTCTTCCCAGAGACAGGCATTCATTCTTGTGTTCATTCAGTCAATATCTGTTTGGAGCCTTCTATCGTGCCAGGTACTGGGATATAACAGTGAGTGAGACACCTCTCCTGTTCCTGAGGAGCTTATGGTCTAGTGGGGAAGGTGGGGGCAGATGTTATGGTACTGGAATTATGGTGATGTATGCACAGAGCCAGCGGACATGCTGTGGCTATGTGTCCCTTGATCCCTGGGAATTCAAAGAGAAGCACTATGAAGTGAGAAGGTGAACGGTGCGAACACAGCAGGCTCACAAAACCAAGGGAGTGTTAAAAGCAATTTTCCATGAAGGAAGAGCAGAGAAGAGGTATACAGTTATGCTAAAATGGGAGAAAAGCATGTAATATGGATGGGAACACCTGCTTCCACTTGCTCCAAGACTGGGTTCTCCTCCTTTGCCTCCGTCCAGCTGCCAAATAAGAAATCTAGGTGTCATCTTGCCCTTTGCTTTCTCCTGCTCACATCTCGGCAATCAGTCAAACCTGTGGGTCATAGATTCTTAATAGTTCCCCAGTTGTCTGCTCCTCTTCCTACCATCTCCAGTTCAGGCCACTGTTGTTTCTTCCCTGGGTTTTCCCAAGTGTCTTCAAGCTTTTCCATGGGAAGGTAAGCATGCCAAAAGTAGATCTTGTGTTCTTCCTGCACCCAGGCTGTTTCTCCTTCAGGCGTCCCCATCTCAGTGAACCAAAGCATCGTCTACCCAATGGGAAACCTAGATATCACCTTTGACATGTCCCTTTTTCTCACCCCCATAGCCATTACTCAAGTCCTACTGATTTTATCTTCTAAAAATCTCTCAAATCTCACGTTTTCCCATCGACACTGATGGCTCCCCAGTCCATGCCACCTTGGGCACTTGCCTGCCCTGCTACATTTAGGCCAACTCATCTTCCTGCTTTGACTTCTTGCCCCCACCCAGACCTCTGCCCACTCTACCCAGCAGAGTGATCTTTTCAAGATGCACCTGTAATCACCTCTCACTCCCATCTTTCAGTGAGTGCTTGTTCTTTCAAGATCAAACCAAAAACTTTGGCATGGCTTCCAAGGTCCTGCCTCCCTCTCTGGCCTCTTTCTGTGCTTCTCCCTCCCTTGTGCTCCTCATGCTGTCAGTTACCCTTCTTTCAGTGCCTCAAGTCTGTCTTGATGTTCTCATCCGTGGAGCCTTCGTACAGACTCTACTCTATGCCTGGAATCCTTGAACCACCTGGTTTATTCAGATGCATCCTTCAGTGCTCAGCTCAAACATCACTTCCAAGGGAAAGCCTCTTTGGTATCCCCATCTCCAGGCTAGCTTAGGCCTCCTAGTATATACACAACCGTGCTGACTGGTTTCGTTTTGAATTTGTCATTACTAAACTTAAGTCCTTAAGCGCTGCCCAGTTAGTCTGTTACTGGCAGTGCACGTGTTCTTCCATTGTGCACGTATTCTTCTGTTCTCCCAAACATCTGTTTTACCTTCTTTCCCTTCAAACCTCTACTTGCCTCCTCCCCATCTTCACCCTCAGCTGATGGCTTTGTTGCCCATCTCTTCTGATTGCTTCTATTTTGTTATAGAAAATTTTCCACGTTCCTGTCACAATGTCTACTTACCTGTGTGTGTTTTAAGTGCTGCCTTCTCTCCTGTTACCATCGATAAACACACTGTGTTCCTAGCTAAGTCAAGCTCTCCACTTGTCAACAGGACCCCGAACTATCTACTCAAAGACATTGTTCCAGCAAACCTCCTCCCCATCCCCTGTCCCCCCTGCATTACCAGTTTTTTCTTTTCTCTGGAACATTCTATACACACACGCGTGTGCACGCGCACACACACACGTATTACATCTATAAATATGCCATATTTTCTCTTAGAAAAAAACTGTTGGTCCTACATATTCTTTTAGTTACCACCCCATTTTTCTGTTCTGCTTTATAACAAAACTCCTCAAAAGAGTTAATCTTCTTCATCTGTAGTTCCTGTCTTACTTTTCCCTCAATCCATTCCACGTTTCTGCCCTTATTTGCAGCAGTCCAAGGTGGTGAGCTTCATTTCCAACTCCATGTTGGTAAGTACAGGAGTCGATTATGAGCCCACTTGACTTGACTTTGCAGCATTTGACTCTCCCTCCTCCTTGAAATGCTTCCTTTCATTTCCAGGGTACCACACTTATGCTTTCTGCCCACCTCATTTGCACTGGAGTTGTCCTTTGACCCCTTCCCTTTTCTTTTTTTTTTCTTTTTGCTTTTATTTTTTAATATTTAAAGATTTTATTTATTATTTGACAGAGAGGGACACAGTGAGAGAGGGAACACAGGCAGGGGGAGCGGGAGAGGAAGAAGCAGGCTTCCCGTCAAGCAGGGACCCCGATGCAGGGCTCCATCCCAGGACCCTGAGATCACAACCCAAGCCGAAGGCAGACGCTTAACTGACTGAGCCACCCCGCTGCCCCGACCGCTTCCCTTTTCTCTCTGTACTCCCCACTCCCAAGCAATCCCATCACCTCATGGGTTTAAATCCCGTTTCTATGCTCATGACCCTGTAACTCCCATTTCCATCTCCAGATTTGTTTGTGGAACATCCTACCTCCCGACATCTTCATGTGGTTGTCTGGTGGGCACCTAACACATAGACAGGAACTCATGATCTTCCTCTCCAGTCCTGCTCCTCCTATAGCCTTCTTCCTTTTAGTAGATAGCAGTTCGGTCTTCTAGTTAGTCAGCTCAAACATCCCCTCTCTCTAGTATATCGTGTCCAGCCTCTCAGCACATCCTGCTGACTGTACTTTCAGAATCATTCAGGATCTGACCATTTCTCAGATGTGGCTACTGCCCTGGTTCAAACGAGCATCACCTCTCAGCTGGGTTAGCTGCCTCCTAACCGGTCTCTTCACTTCTGAACTTGTCCCCCTGCCATCCTTTCTCATCACAGCAGTCAGAGTGATCCTTTATTCATTTGTTTATTTTAAAGATATTTATTTATTTACTTATGTATTTAAGAGAGCATGGGGAGGGGCAGAGGGAGAGAGAGCATCTCTAGCAGACTCTGCTCCAGCCACTGGCCTTCCTGCTCTTTCTCAGACTTACTGACACACTCCTGCCCCGAGGAGGTCTCGGCACGTATTAGTCCCTTATTTGATACATTTAGCCTGAGAGTTCCACGTGGTTTGCTCCATCATTTCCTTCAGGTCTTTGCCCAAACATAATCTGTTGAGCGAGCCATTTCCCAACCACTCAGTTTAAAATTACATGCCCCGCCCCATCCCTGAAGCAATTCTTATCCCCCTTCTCTGCTTAATGCTTCACTGTAGCATCTGGTGTACAGTGTATTTTCTTTGATTTGTTTTGTTTGTTGTCCATTTTTTGCTGCTAGACCATAATCCCTCTGAGGGGAGGGATTCTTGTCTGATTGGTTCACTGCTGTATTCTCAGCACCTGGCATAGAGGCACAAAATAAATATGAATGAATGAATGAACTTTTCCTGTGTTTGTAACAGTCGTCATGATCAGGGTCTGTTTTGCAGTACCTTGTGTGTCTTTACCTCTCTAACAACACTCAAGGCTGAGGTTTTATCTTGCTCACCACTGTGCTGCCAGAACTTAGTAGGGGCTCAGTACATGTATTTCTGGCATGAATGAAGCTTTCTGAGGTGCTAATCTGATTATCCTCACCCTCTGCTTCTGCCTTTAAAACCTACCCCCCTCAGAATCAAACCTGAGTCTCTTAGCATGTCATCATTATTCTCCAGTCTTGATACTTCTCTCTTTCCTTCCACATCCCCTAAGGTTCAGCCTTCCTTGAACTTGTGATGCTCTCGCCCCCAAGCCTTTGTACTCTCTGTTCTCTGCCTGGAAAGCTCCACCTAACTAACTCCTGCTTGTCCTTTGAGGCTTGCTGAGGCCATGTCTTCTGGGAAGCTTTCCAGACCCATGAAGTTTGGTGTGAGTCAGTATGGGCTGGATGCATACATAGCCCTTCTCCAGCTCGGTCCTGCCCAGGCTTCTGGTGACGCCCAGTGGTTGTATGTTGGACAGAGAGGTTGAAGATCAGCTCAAAGACAACGTTGATGTTGTAGAACATAAAGCAATGAGGACAGCAGCAGGTGAGATGGAGGTTAGGGTAACTAAAAGCCACTAAAAGACACTGTTCTCTAGGCCCTGCGGTCTCTGGGCCTTCTGGGTAGGAGCCGAGACCCCTTGGTTGGTCTGTCTGACTTGCATTTCTCCTCCTTCCTCTCTCTCAGGGGGGAATGTTACCATCACTGACCTGCCCCTGGCCCTAGAGCAGATCCAGGCCAATGTCCAGGCCAATGTGCCGGCTGGAGGTCAGGCCCAGGTCCGAGCCTTGTCCTGGGGGATTGACCAGCATGTTTTCCCTGGAGACTATGACCTGGTGCTGGGGGCTGATATCGTGTACCTGGAGCCCACCTTCCCACTGCTGCTGGGCACCCTCCAACACCTATGCGGGCCCCATGGCACCATCTATCTGGCCTCCAAGATGAGAGAGGAGCACGGGACAGAGAGCTTCTTTCAGCACCTCCTGCCCCAGCACTTCCAACTGGAGCTGGCCCAGCGGGATGAGGATGAGAATGTCAACATCTATAGAGCCAGGCACAGGGAACCAAGACCTGCTTGACAACACCCTTCTGCTCCTCTGAACCCCTTGTCCTAAGAAAAGAACTGCCGTATCTCCAAAGCCATAAACACGAGGAAGAGAAGTATGGGTTTCCTTTGCCTCCTCTTTCCTCCTTCCCTCTTGGGCTGGTGCAGGGAGGTGCCTGCTTGCTAGGAATCTTAGAGCCCTGATAGCGCTGGGTTAGAGCACAAAGGAAGTTCCCAGTTCCTGTTCCCAGAGGATGAAATGAAGATTTTTAGGTATAGGGGAGACAAATGGGAGGTGAGAACAGTGGTTGCAGATAGACTGTCCTTGAACCCTTCCAGTCCTGCTGTGGTGTATTTTTTTTTTTTTTTTTAATGCAGAATGGACTTTTTTCCCTGCCAGATTTGAATGGAATTCTTTTTTAAAGGGAAAGAAGATCATCTCTGCATCCAAAGAATTCAGGCTTTTGCTGGGGGACTAGGAAGGAATGAACCTCAGACCACCCACTTCTTGCTTCTGGAGACAGAGTCTGGTGGGATCATGGCCCTAACTGGGTCAAATCCTGCCTGCCCTGAAGCTGGGGACATAGGCAGCAAGCTGTCCTTTGGACTATGGCTTCTTCATCCTTTTTGGAGCTGGAACTGGGATCACTAAGTACTAGGTTCTTCTCATCTATCTGAGTTTTCTTCAGGTTTCCAAGCCCTGTTGGTCCTTCCTTGCTAATGTGTTTTGTCTTCCCCTCTTTTTTCTTCCCACTGAGCTACCTCTGCTTGGGGCTCCCTTTTACTCCTTGGGCCACATATCACCTCCTCTGGATTCCTGGCCTCCATTCCCTCCCTTTCAAGCCACTTATCAAACTCTGTTGATCTTCCCACATCAGCTCTGATGAGCTTTGGATGCCTACAGCAAGAGTACACACTCCTTGGCTTGGTACTCAGTCCATCCTGTGTGATCCCAAATTACTCTTCTTTTTCATTTTCAACTGGTTTCCTATGTGTATTGCAACCTCTGGACAAATTCCAAATGTCTACTCTTTGTTCCCTATTTCCACACCTAAATTCCTTGTTTTCTTCATTCTTTTTGGTGATTGTCTGCCTGGAAGGGCTATGTCTACTTGTCAAAATCTTTATTACTCTTCGCCTCTTTCCTGAAAAAAACTTTTACAGAGCCTCCTGTTTGGGTGTGATTTCTTTCTCCCTGGAGACCCTTTCACTGTTTGTTCATCTTATGGGACTTACATGATCTTACGTGGTCACTTGCCTGTTCCCTATTTTCTCACCATTAGATTATCTTGGAGGGTAGGGCTGTGCTTTACTCTTCTCTAATTCCCTGAAGTCTAGCACAGCTCCCAGCATACAGTAGATGCCCAATAAAGACTTTGCTCACTCAACAAATATTTACAGGATTTGTTGAAAGGACTCCACTCTTACCTCCCCAGGTGCCCTTGGCCAAATTTCTGAACCCACCCACCTACCTCACAAGTTTGTCGTGAGTCCTAAATGGATAACTATGAAAGATGAACGGAAATAAAGAAACATAAAATGTTGCCACATGTCTTGAATTGCTATTTTGCGACAACTTTGTCCCATGGTTTCTGTTAGTTTATCTACGGTGGGAGTGGGGAGGTGAGGGGGGATAAATCCTTTGTGCAATAGTCTACAAAAGCAAGGTAGAAGCGGCGAATGTGCCCACCCCGGCCAGCAGGTGGCGCAGTCCTCGCTCGGCGCGTTGCGGTGAAGAGATTTGGCCCTGCCGCCGCGCCGTAGGCTAGTGGCCTCACCGGTGCGCCGGGCGGCGGCAGTGTACTCTGGGGTCAGAGAGATGTCGCTGCTGCGGTCGTTGAGCCTCTACCTGGTCGCGCGGACCGGGAGCTGCTCGGTGAGGGGTCTGGGTCCTCCCACCGTCCCGCCTTCCTTGCAGATCTCCCGAGCGCTCGGAACGCAGTGTTTCCTTCCGTTCCTCGTTCGACTCCATCCTTCCCCCGCCCCCCAGCCCCCGACCTCATTTTCTCTGTGGGGTCCAGTTCCCAGTTGGCTGCCTTCCCCCACCCCCGGAGGAGGTGTCTCCTAAGGTGGCCTCCTAAGGTGGCATTTCCACCGACGTGCTGTCCACCCGCCCGAGTTCCTGGCTGCTTCCTGCTTCTCATCCCTTTCTTCTTACCTCTGCAGGCGGGACCCCTTCGGCTTCAGTCGCTTCAGCCGTGGCACACATTTCACACGGTGCCCTGGCTCTCTTCTGCGGCCTCCAACAAGGAGCTTCTCATGAAGCTGCGGCGAAAAACAGGCTACTCCTTTGTAAACTGCAAGAAAGCTCTGGAGACTTGTGGCGGGGATCTCAAACAGGTGTGGGGGAGGAGGGCGAGGGGAGCGGGGCGGGGTACTAGGGCCCGAACTCAGTCTCTCAGGGAGGTGCTGCTGGGGAGCAGTGAATCAGACCTGCTACCCAGGGACCCATAACTGCGGAACTTTGGGTAGGATTCGGACTTAAATGACAACCTCACCCTTTGACCGTGTTTTGACTCCGGAAGCCGTTAACTCAGGATCCCATGGTTAGCAAACGCTATTCCAAGCACACGGCTATGCTGTTTCCCTGCTGCTTGGAGCCCAAAGGGCTCGTGTGGGCTTTGGGAATGAGACCCATCAGGACTCAAACTCTGGTGCCCTCACACTAACCCTGTGATCTAGGACACCTTACTCTTTCAGAGTGGAATTGTTCTTGTCTGTATAATAGAAATACTACTGTCTGCTTCATGGGGTTGTTGTGAAGATGAAATTTATCCAAAGCACCAGGCACATTGCCTGGTATTTGGCATTCAGTGGTAGGCTGCCAGAAAACGATAGATGCTTTAGTTTCCATTATAGGACTGAAGAGACGCAGAAAGAATTAGGGAACCTGAACATATTTTAGAGCTCCGTTCAGTTCTAAATTCTATGACTTTGTCATCTGCTGTATTTTTAATTTATAGGCAGAGAGCTGGCTCCACAAACAGGCCCAGAAGGAAGGCTGGAGCAGAGCTGCCAAACTCCATGGCAGGAAGACCAAAGAAGGTCTGATTGGGCTACTTCAGGAAGGAAACACAGCTGTGTTAGTAGAGGTGAGTTGTCAGAATTCCAGATAACCAGGAACAGCTGTCCCTTGGGTGGAAAGAAGAGGTGTTTGAGAACCGCAAAAGGTTGTTGACATTAAACTGGTGAGACCACGGTTAGGAATTCACTGAAGTATAGAAATGCACAGGTATGTTGACGAATAAAGGTCTAGAAGTCAAAAAGATTACAGATATCCCCCACTTTTCGAAAGTTTGAGTTACGCACTTTACATTTACAAAAGACCTACATTCGTACCTGTTTTGTTTTTGGTTAACCAAAAGAAATTCAAAGAGCACTTTCACTTTTATGGAAAAAAAAAGGCAGAAAGTGAAAATAGCATTCCCTGTTGGTTTTGCCTTGAGTTGCTTTAGAGTCAGGGGCACCCTAACGGCAAGAGTTGTGCCCCCAAACTCCTCCCTGCCCAGACTACACTCAGCATCAAGCTGCCATACCTTTGAACTTTGTGAGCCTCTGTGTTTTAGGTCGATTTATTTTGTGCACCCACGTCCATCTAAATGAATGGTAACTGATTTTTTGCTTTATGCCATTTTGGCCGACAAAAGGTTTCATAGGAATATTCTGCTTTGAGATGGTGGAGCAAACCTGTGCTTCTACATGTGAGTCTCGTATGGCCTTATGACTTGCCACTGATTGTTTCCTGGAACACAGTTTCAAGCTAGGAATTGTATTAGTTGATGGAGAGCATGTGGCTGTTTTAGAGGAGGCTTAGGGGCTTCAACTGGTGAAGAGTCAGATGTGGGTTAGTTTAGAGTGAGAAAAGGAGACAAGCATGCTGATAGCAAAAGTGGCTTGGTGTTGGAGGAGCCTGGAGAATTAGGTGTTCATGGCCTGCAGCCACAGGCAAGTGGTGAACTTGTCCTTTGGGGGACATTATGGAGCCATCTTTTGAAAGTGCGGGTCATTGCCAACTCATTGGCGGAGCAAGAATCACTTCATTCAGTTTCTGGCCTCAAGCTAGGAGAGGAACTGCAGCCTTAAAATTCTAGGGTCTTTTATTTCTGTTTTGTTGAATCTGCAGCTTGTTCTGCGGTACCTTGGTTTACTCTCCAATTTTATGGCACTTTTGCAAACTCTCCGTAAACAGCCTATAAACAACATCAATTTGTTCCCACCAGGTAAACTGTGAGACAGATTTTGTTTCCAGAAATTTGAAATTTCAACAGTTGGTCCAGCAAGTTGCCCTGGGAACCCTGTTGCATTGTCAGAACCTAAAGGATCAACTTTCCACGTACAGTAAAGTGAGTTTTGGGATTATCTGTCAATATGCTGGATTTACACACACACCCCTTTCTTTTTTTTCTATTTTTATTTTTAAAGATTTTATTTATTTGACAGTGCAAGCACACAAGCAGGGGAAGCAGCAGTCAGAGGAAGAGGAAGAAGCAGGCACCCCTTGGAGCAGGGAGCCTGGTAAGGGGCCTGATCCCAGGACTCTGGGATCATGACCTGAGCCGAAGGCAGAGGCATAACTATTGAGCCACCCAGGCACCCCGACACACTGCTTTCTTAGGGTCTTTGCTGTTCCCTGTTTTTCAGACATCCTCATGGCTCACTCCCTTACTTCATGTCCTTGCTTAAATGTTATCTCTTTGGAGAGAAACATCTTTCCTGTTGTTCTAGCCCCTTATTTTGCTTCATTGAAAAAGTTTTGTTATAATACTAAGTATTTATTATATTTTTACTTATTTATATATTGATCATCTTCCCCAATAGAATGTGTGAGTTTCATGAGGCAGAGAATTTGTCTTTTCACTACTGTGTCTTTGGTGAAAGAGGAGTGGGCCCAGCATTTGGGTGGGGCTCATTAAATGTTGAATGAATGAATGAATGCCAGTGGTGTAGAGTCCTTCAAATCAGGTGAAGCTTTTTTTCTTTAAAGATTTTTTTTTTTTTTAATCATTTGATACAGAGAGATACAGAGAGAGCACGAGCAGGGAGAGAGGCAGAGGGAGACAGAGAAACAGACTCCTTGCTGATTAAGGAGCCTGATGTGGGGCTCGATCCCAGGACCCTGGGATCATGACCTGAGCCAAAGGCAGATGCTTAACTCTCTGAGTCACCCAGGTGCCCCACTTTTCTTTTCTTTCTTTCTTTCCTTTTTTTTTTTTTTAAAAAGACCTACCTATTCTAGAGAGAGTGAGAGTGGGAGCCTGAATTGGTTAGGGAGGGATGAGGGAGCCGAAGAAAATCCCAAGCAGACTCCCTGCCAAGGGTGGAGCCCTATGGAGGGCTCCAGGCTCCCCT